GCGTGCCAACGTGGTCGGTTGCGACACTTGTTTTGTGACCTGGATATCTCCACTCTATACCCACTACCTCGTATACCCAGTACCCAGTCGCCTCCCCGGACTGTCCCTTTCCTCTCTTCGGGCGTCCCGCTGCTACCCCTGCTCCTTCTGCACCGAGAAACAGAGACCCGTCGATGCCATTCGAATATCTGGTTCACCGTGCCTGCCGACCGCATGCCGTTCGTCCCACCCTTCGTTGCCAACCCCCCTCTTCGCCGCACGAATTCTTGCAGGGAACCCCGTGACCTCAGCTTCTCCATTCTTCTACAGTAGAACTGCATTTGTCAGAACGAGATTTTAATTAATGACCGATTTACCAAACTTTCTGCTGGTTCAATTCACGTATCTCAATGCGAACTTCTATTATGCGAACGAGAATGTTTGTCCCCCGACAAATTCAGATAAGCGGAGTTCTACCATACTCAATCTAACTTGCTCTAATTGAGTGCTACAGTACTCGCATTATAGAGGTGTTAAAAGATTAGTTTTAGAGGTTATGTTTGTCTTTTGTCTCTGGTTCTATCGATGAGATTTAGGGACTTATTTAAGGAGTTTGATGGCACGTAGAATATGATTAGAGTTTGAGGTTAGGTTATAACTTCCTGTTTTAGGGATTCCTTAGAGGTCTGCGATCTAGACGTCCAAAGTCATTAAACATCTGACATTTTATCGCAATTAGTCCATACCCCATAGGTTAGATTCAAAGATTGTTCATACAATTTGATTTTAAATGTAACATTTGGTAACTAGCAATATTTGTATGTTGATATATATGTATAAAATTTTGCGCAACTTATGCGAATGTTAGGTTAGATTAAGTTCAAGGTTAGATTTAAGCATTCATCTTTCTTAGGTCTCTTCAGTTATGAATGTTAGCGATTCAATATCGTAACGTTGTATCAGACGTGCGATATTGAAATTTGAATACGTATTTAGAGTTCGCGTATGTATTTAGAATAATTGTTGCACGAGAAACCTGTTCTTACTATGTAAATCGATGCCATAATATGTGGCACGTGACTAAATATCATAAGGCAAGGGTTAATCTCGAGTTTGCGTGCATCGTAGAAAATTAAACAGAAAAAATCATAATGCATAGCAGCGAAAACTTCTTTTTATTTAACCGTTGATAAAAATTAATAAGAGAACGTTATATAATAATATTAACGTTGATCATGATTAAAGTTTTAATACTTTAATACGCCATTTTTACCAGATTTCCAAATCTTCAAACGATCTAGAAATTCCTTTATTCCAAAAATTAATTATTTACTTTAATATACGTATACACGAACATCCATTAGAACATCATTAAACAAAGTTACAATGTGACATTCCTTTAGAATATTCCAATTCTAATTTTTCAAAGTTCAGAAAGAAATTCTTTTATTTAAATGAACGAAAAATATCATTTTTCTACACTTATCCTACTATTACTACTATTACATCATACTCATCTTATTATTTTCAATACTACCTACTCCAAGCTAACCCTAACCTAACCCCAATCTGTTCTAACTGTTCCTCCTTTAATATAAAATAAATTTATTTGTAGAATAAACGTAGCATATATAAGAATTGTTACAAATACAAACTAAAAGAAAAGAAAAGAAAAAGAAATAATATTCCTAACTAGCTGAGGCTTCGAATCGATATTTTATCGAATTATAATGGCTGCCTCGATACTATTGCGAACAATTGACCGGAGGAGTTGGCGCGAAATCACGAACGGGCTTCGTGGGACGTAGAAGAGGTAATCGAAGCACGTGTGAGCGGACGGCGTCGAGAATTTCAACGAGCAACCGATAACTGTAAACCAAACACTTTTTTCTTTCCTATTGTTCCTCTACCGTCGATTCTTGTCGCGATTTTCGATCGCGTTGCTTCTCGAATTGGATCTTTAACTCTAGTTTGCTGTCGTTTGATCACCAGATCGTGCATGTTTATTTGCATATTTTTATAGACGCAAGTGAGAAAGATAGAATCTATAACAATTACTATACTATGTATATTATACACATTTTTTTATATGTTCAAACAGTTGGATTTAAGGTTAGGTTAGTTAATTTGAACATATTCCAAACTGCTTTCGTATTACCGAAACTATTTTCTAGCCAGATGGCTTTCTCTTAATCCTAATCATAAAAATATAAGTTTGCGTACAGTTCCACGGTCTACTTATAATCCAGTGATGACTATAAGCAATCAAACAAAAGCTCAAACTGTACGAGACACTCGAATAGAACCTGCTTCTCAATTTCGAAATGCCCAAAGGATCTGCCAACTAAGCACAATAAATCAACGTCTACGCTGTTCCACGTTCCTCGACATCGTGAAAATAGTCACGTGTGCACGAAGAACGCGTGGGAGGAGAAGTGGAAGAAGTTTGAAGAAGTTTAAAGCGAACACATAGCGAAGCTAGGAAGGCAGTAGGGACTAGGCTGTCGAAGGCTTCTTAGAAAGCTGTTAAAATGCGAATAGCGTGGCCGTGAACGATACTCGCGAAGACGAGCAAGCACGGGAAATTCGTCACGTAAACGCAGGACAATGACTCTCCTGCTACCTGTGAGCCAAACGAGTCGCCAAGATACCCGTTAGTTGCTTCACCATGAAAAACCCAACGAATCACCTACCGCAGCGCGTGTTGCGCTTGCACATGCCGTGCATCGATACCTAAATCGCTATGAATTTCGTGTTTTTCTATGACCTCGACACGATTACCCCAGCGAAAATACCTGAACCCGGCGATTTACTAGAATATACTCTCGAAGGATGTACAAGAAACGTGACAGTGGTTGGCTTTTTCCGAGGTTCCAGGAATTTCAACATTCATACTCTTCTTGTATATTTTATGTAGGGTGGAATAATGACACAACTACAGGAAAGTGATTTTTCAAGGGAGCAGGGAAACCAATCTCATTTCCTAAAACTTGGAATTCAATAACCAGGCAAATGTTGCACAATGTTGGGATTGAAGCAGTTGTTAGCATTCGAGAGTTGGTTACAAGTTTATCGAAGTTTAGCCCTGAATTCGTCTCTGTTGTACAGTTACGCAATTCTTGTATCAAAACCGGAGACTGATATTCTGCAGTTGTACCAAAAAGTATATTAATGAACAAATTTCAGGGTGTACTCATTTTTTGCTTAAAAAATAGCACAGAAAAATAATTGACAGAACGTTGCAATAGTATTGTCGACACAGGATAATGAAACATCATTCCACAGAGATTCAACACTTAGGTCAAACTTGATCAAAACCTAATAAGATGGACCCAAATTTGATTCAAATCTCCCAACCTTGCCAATCTTATCTCGAATCTGAAAATTTAATGGCTTGACTTGAACTTATTTCAAATCTATTCAAACTGAATTCAAACCCCATCTAACCTAACCAAACCTGCCAAGCCTAAATTCGTATTTCAATAGCTCTTCAATCATATTTTCATCGCGGTCTGGTCAACGTACCTATCTCTATTACTACGACAGCCTGCTCACCTACTATTAATAATATTGTCATACTTTAATCTTCCTTTGAACGTAAATTTAGGTTAGCTCAACATCATATTGTCATACTTCAATCTTTCTTCGAACGTAAATTTAGGTTAGCTTAACATGAAATCTAACTATAAACTTCGACACTCGTCCGGATCGACGTCAATCATTGTCCTGAGCGATCAGAGTGGAAAACGAGGCCAGGAGGGCCACGCACGTGAATTTCATACGGGGGCCTGTCGAATAATAGTCACGGAACTTGTGCGTTCGTAAGTGAAAGTGAGAGGCCTGGGTAGATTCGACCGAATGTCGAGCAACGATCGTAAAAAGAATTCCATAGGATAATTTACGCCGAGCGAAGCGAGGGGAACGAAGAGATCGACGCTGCTAGATAAAGAAATTGCGAGAAGGTATCGGGCACCTTTCACTTGCGAGCGTGTGACTCCCATCGGCGTGGATCGTCGGCTTTTCGTCCACCCGTGGCCGCTAATTATCGCGCGAGAATGAAGATTCTCGTTGCAAGATAGAGACCCCGGTAAAAGTTCTGCCGCTTTCCGGATCGTGGATATTGGACGTTCGTTAACGAAACACAAGGCTTGCGTTTTCGTGAAAGCACCGCCGATGCGATATCTACTCCTGCGTGAGAACGATTTTCGCAACACGTACCGATCGATTGTAAACCTGTGTATCTTCTCTCTTTTTCATGGTCTGTGTTAATATGAGTGTGTTTGAATATGTTTGAGCGCGTCTCTCATGGTTTGAGAACGAGCAAGAGGATTGGTTTTGCCCGTATCCGACTTCCCGAGGAGGTTCTTCGTTACTTTTTGTTGAATATTGGGAGTTGATGCAAAATGTTTGATATATAACGGATGATAAGTGTTTGATGATGTTTGATATAGCAATATGCCTGATTTTTACCACGCCTCTTGATCTGTATTTGCGCATTTGTTTTCAGTAGTTTGTATGTCCCTGTAGTTTGATATATATTCAGTAGTTTGTAGTTCCTGAGTGTATTTGTCGTGGTTTGAGAACGAGGAAGTAGATTCGTCTCGTTCGTGTCAGACTCGTACAGGATGTGCTTTGTTACGGTACATTCAGACTGAACGAAAAATATTCGACGCGATAACTGAACTAGATCTGAATTAGGGTTATCTTATTGATTTTTTAAAATCCTTCTTGAAAAATATTGGCACATATATAACAAATGTTATTCTAAATAAACATTTCTAAATGCAAAAAATCTTTTTACAAATACTCAACGACTATTTATTATCGCCATTAATAAATTCCTTTTCTAGAGTTCAATATGCTGTACCGAATATTTAAAAGCAATAGAATTCGAAGAACCAAATTACAGTAAATATACGTTGAAAACTCAGTTACGCGAATTATTTGAGAAAATCCTCGAATTAGTCCCGATGAATGAAATTCTACTCTACAACTATCAATTCAAAGAACATCAGACTCACCTTGATCGTATATGTAGAACAGGCTCCGCAATTGCTGAGTAGATTAACCGTGAAAAGTAGAAGTACTCTAACCGTAGCGCGTTCTAGAATTATTTAAGCACTCACACTCTGTTGTACGATCTTCTTCTCTCTTTTCCTCTTAACAACTATCGTTTATTACTTTTTAATTATTATATACTCTTATCGATATCGTTATTATTCTCTTTGCCCTTAGCTGTTACTTGTCGCCTTTCAACAGGCTGCTTTTTACTATTTTATTACTATCGGTGTCTGTTTGTGTGTCTGTATTATATATACTCATTTATTTATATAATATATATATATATATCATATAAATTATTCTTATAAATATATCTGTGTTTGCTGCAGGTACTTCGCTGTCCTGGTTCGTATTAATCGATTAAGGGGCTCGAAGGGGGAGAGGTACCGTTATCAACGAGAATATTCCTGATAAGATCTATATATCGACGCACCACCACGATTCTTCCTCTTCAAATTCTGTCCAACCTTGGACCAAGTGGTTCGTAACTTGCTCGATCCCGATCTTGATCTCAACAGACCGCTCTTCTCTCTCTTGCATACGTTCACGTCCGTATACATACAGATAGTCACTGGGTTTGCCTATGTTTTATGTGTGTTTGTGTACGTTTATGACTTGCAAGTCGAACGAACGAAACTGACGATTATGATTAAAACGTTAAAACTTCTTTCGTCTCTCGTTAGATCTTTTATTTTCTCTGTATATATTTATATATATAATATATGTATAACGTTGCTATTAATTATTAATATTATTATTTATTATTATTTGTATTATTATTATTATTTGTAGTCGCGTTCTTCCGGAGGGGCCTAGGCACTATTACGCTGCGAAAAAGAGGTTATGTTTGAAGGTACTTGTACGCACGAGGTATATGTTCTCAAGGTAGAAGTTATATTTTTTTTTTTTTGTTCTTTTTTTTTTAATGTACAGGAGCGATATCCCGCTGCAGAAGGAGAATGTCTTGTGTGTGCTCAACCTGGCCACGAGGAAGGAATTTATTTCTCAATGTTTCCCCGTTTCTTTCCCACCCTCTTTCCTTCCCTTCAATTCGATTTTTTGTTGTTTTCTTTTTTCAAATTTTATGGCGTTTTAATCGCGTGCTTCTCTCTCCAAAACACGTATCTGTATTTTTCTATCCCTGTTGATGTTTGCCTCCCCTTTAGAGCTCGCCTTTTTTACTCCCTCTTTCTTTTTCACTCTCCACCCTTTTCGTTTCTTTCGTCGCCGTTTTCGTACTCAGTTTCTTCCACTTCTTCTTCTTCCGCCTCTTTCTTCTCGTTTTCTTCCGAATGGTGAGCCTTTTCGCTTGACGATCGACGGCGGCGCCCTCTACGTCGCGGTACACGCTCTCACGGAAGGTCAGAAGTCGTTATCACCTCCTCGAGCTTTCCCACTTGCTAGCCACATCGCCCTGGGCCCCGCTGCCGCCCTCCTCCCACTGGTGCTCAACTACCACCACCATCTGTAAGCAAAAGTAAATAAATAAATAACATCGTTTTAGGAATATTCTTCTTTTCAAGCGAGTTGATACGAGAAAGTTAGGTTAGGAACGTAAACGATATGCTATGAACGAATATAAGTTTATAAGTCTCAAGTTTTTCAATATTATACGATTAATTCCTAAGGAAATAAACTATATTGTCTGGTTTTTATCATTGCTTAACCACTATCGTCTGCAACCAGAGAAACAGGGTTGTTACATGATTGACATTGTGTAAAGAGAATTAATTTTTAGCGTCAGTGTTCCTTTAGGATCATAAATTTTGAATGGATCGTAGAAACTAGCCCTTAACCTCTGTACGATTGGGTACTGTTATTAACCTTTATTACTGCCTAACCTCTGTTTGTCTAACGTTTGTGAAATTATTATCGCCTAATCATCGTAATATGTACGTCTGACAATGCGGACCGAGAATTTAATTTTGAAATTAGTGCTCCATTAGATCCAGGAATCTTGAACACATAGCAGGGACTATCCATTAACCTCTGTACAATTACTGTAATATTGTCTACTCGATATAGTACTGATATTCTCTAAAGGGAACTACATTTTTGAGGTTAGAGTTCATTTAGAGTTTACAAAGCTTCGAACAGATAATACAAATCACCTGTCCAAATCTTTCAAAATTTGAGTAGTACTATCTAATCGCTGCAACGTGATTAATGGTTAATGATCTAACCTGAAGAGGGTGCTTCAACATGATCAAAAATTTCGCAATTAATAATTTTGACTACTATAATTAAACATAAGAAAAGGCAGGAAATTTTCTACGAGAGAACGTAATATCTTTGAAAATGGAATGGCGCGTGTTTGCCAGTGGATTGCAGGGCACGTTGCTTTTAATGCACGTGCATTTCTCTTAGGAGTCAGAAAATTAATTTTCACGGAATACGCAGGCAAAGTGGAACGCACAGGCATAGTCTGAGACCCCCGAACGATCCTGGCAAACCCGCCACGAAGCTGATGAATTTAATATGTCCACGATTACCCATCCCAATAATGAAACATTTCTCTCGTTCCTGAATTACGAGAAATATCGTGCAAACTAAAAGACAAACCTAACCTAGTAACTTCGATCCCGATCTTTTTTAGAATTAAGGCTATGTTTAAGGTTATGTTACAATAACTCAACCAAACGCGTTCTTATTAAGATTCATTTCATTTCAGTATTTCATATACTATGTTACGATATTACATCAAACATAATGCTTCACTCCCTGATAAATAAATAAATAAATAAAAATACAATTTTACATCGAATATAAATGGTATGATAAAATTGTAATCCCTGAAATCTGCAAAATTTCCTCGTATGATTTCGCCAATTGTATTGCCCAACATCTTGTCATTACACCTATAAATTTATCAACACAAAAATAACCTGCAACACACAACGCATAAAATTTTACTTGAGTCATGTAAGAGGGCCCGGTCAAGCAGGATCTCGTAATAATAATACCAACAGTAATCGTAGCCCCTTCGAGGGCAGCATTAGAACCAACCGTCAAGCCAGACCATAAATAGAAGGGTAAATACCCTATAAATCAGCGGTGTGGCCTCGATCGAACGGGCAAAAGGGAAACAGGGCTCCGTTTTCGTGCTCGACGGCCCTGAACGCGTCAGAGGAAAACATAGAGACGGCCTGCAACGGAGGGTTTCACGGTATTTTTAATTTCACCCTCTCTGATCGTCGGCCGAGGCGCTCGTGCGCGCGCGCTCACATACACACACACACACTCGCAATATTGTATCTATGTGTGGCCATTTCACGTGAGAATGGAACAAAGAACGAGGCTCACGCATCAAGCCTGGTTCGCAACGCGACGGCCACGGCCCTGTGGTGTTACGCATGCGAACACAATGTGCTACAGACAATGCAGCTCCCTGGACCTACGTCAATGCGAAATTAAACTGGCACAGTGGCGACCCTGTCCCTCTTCGATCTCCCTAGGGAACTTGCAACTCGTATATTCCACTTCAAATCGCGACTATATGAGCTATTTTTGGGTACTGTGATTATGATCACCGAGGCAAATAGATAGAGGGCTCATGTGTATGCAGAGACAGGACTATTTATTTAGACTTGGATTATTTTTGGTGGAATTAGGGGCTAAACAGGAGTACTTGAACTGTGACTATATCAGCTATTTTGGCATGCAGTGATTATAGTCACTCTGAGAAGCATATTTTTAAGTCGGGTGGGACTAGACTTGTACCTTCGCACTGCTTTTAAACGATGAACTTCAACCACCCGAGACAACTTTATCAAACAACAAACTAGTCACCGGGTAGAAGTATAATTCGTAACGACTATAACGAACATAGACCAAAAGACATTTTTTCAAAATTTAGAGACAGGTTATACAAGTCACATCTTTCACTTCTTATGTATTACCAATAAAAATTCCAAATTTCCTATATCTAGGGATATTCTACGATATAAGGAAACGTTATAGTTGAAATTTATACGATCGACAATCATTCTGTCTCTTCAACAACTTTATCTATCTGTACTAAAGCTAGTGATATTCCACGATGTACAACAATTTCATACTCATTTGGCAAATGTATCTTCTTGGAAGCATGTGACCACACAGAGCACCATTGCAAAATGGCGCCACGTTTGAATTTTTAAAAGACTGTGAGATCTGAGACGTGTTACTCGAATAGCTCGGAGGAAAAGTTTTAGGAATGTCTGTTTCGAGAGAAATTCGCGTATCTCAGGCACCCACTCAGCTTTCCAAGTGGTTCCTCCGTGTAACCGCGCATTTTAGATCGAATCTCCGTGAATGTACGGCGGACGGCTGAAGCTGGATAAGCGGCCTTTTAAAATTATTGCGAAAGATCGTGGCGGAGATCGTGCGACTACAAAAGCCAGCGACGACGAATGTCGCTATAGAGAGGAGACAGCCGAATATCGACGATGGTAATTCACACACAATGGCCGGATAAATTACGGACCGTTTATCAAAGATTCAAATGGATAGCATTCGCGTGAAATACGGATCTAGTTTGAAAGAAAACGGAGAATTGTTTTCGCCATTGTCTTCCTAGAGATGAGACCCCTTTTTCGTAACAAACTTTTTACTACGTAAAACGTATTAATTACTATTACAATGTACTGTAACACATACATTTTATACAGGGTGGTTGGTAACTGGTGGTACAAGCGGATAGGGATGATTCTACGCGAAAAAAGAAGTCGACAATATAGAATAAAAATTATTTTTTTTAATTTTTCCATCGAGGCAACGATCTACAGTGAGATCCGTTATAACGTACCGCACGCGTACCGAGCGAAAATTCAAAGTCGATTTTCTCGAAAACAAAGCCTCGAACGAAAAATTGTTATTCTATATTTTCGACTTCTTTTTTCGCCTAGAATCACCCCCTTTCCGTTTATACCACCAGTTACCAACCACCCTGTATATCTTTATAATTACATTTAATCCGTAAAGAATAATACAAATGTAAAATTTGAGTTATGCGTTAAAAAATTGTCGAGCATATTGAACTTGAAGATATCGCTACGCGTCGAATTAAGACGCGTCCTTAACGATCCCGTTTGTCACGGTACTCGACACGTTTGCATCGTGGCCACGAGACGCCGCCACACAGCGGACAACGTATGCAAATGAAAACGAAAATGGAAGGCGTCTACGCACTTCCGGACAGATGTCGAGGCTCAGGCACATTATTCGCCCCACTCCCCTTTCCTATTACTCTCCTTCCTGCATTCTTTCCTTCCCTATGCCTGATCTCTTTCCCCCATTGTCCTTCGACCGCTAGCAGCGCCAAGAAGAATAGCAATGGCTTCGATAATGTTACTTGGCCGTGGTTGGCCGCACTTGCGCCACTGCAACGTAATTTTCTCGCACGGAAAAGAACAGTAACCAGCTCCCCGTGAATTTGTCATTTTATAACCAACCGGGTTTTTAACGCCAACCGTGACTATTACTTATGAAAATGATGACTAGGCAGATTGAACGTCGTAAGTGTGATTGTAATAGTGGAAAATACTCGTGGTATTCGTTTATGCGTGACTATAACTGGTCAAAGATAGGAATGATTCTAATAAAAATAAATTACTACCTGCAACCGTTTCTACCTGGCTATTTGGGAACGATGATTACGTAGGATGAATGATCGCAACAGCGTTAATGTTATATTTCTAATATTCACCTATGCGTGATTACTCGACGTAGACAGGTGATTATAAATAGTCGGACACTGGAATGATCGTAGAAAGATAAAGTAGTCGTCGAAATGACTCTACATCTGTATAAAAAAAAAGTTCGACGAAAGGAATTATCTTAACGATCTATGTCACAAAAGTCCACTCGTGTTACGCCGTAGAACGTGTAGAAGGACGTGCAACCGAGTGCCATTTGGTCAACGAAGCATCTAGAATCCGCTTGGACGTAGGGAAACGTAACACCTCTATTTTGCAACACTGACAGTACAACGTTTCAATAGCAGACAAAACAGGCCCCGTCTCCTGTTGTGATACCCAAGCTGGCAGTTGTGATACACGGGACTATCCGACGCGTGAAAAAAGAAAAAACAATGAACATAGCCACCACAGGACGTGCATTCACACACGCGATAGTCAAAGGACACGCTAGCAGCGTGGTATGAGTGAAAATGTATGGCTGATCCAGACAAGGTCATTCATAAGTAGCTCAAGTTCAACTAATAGTATTGTATTACGATACCTACGGCCCTCTTCCTCCTTCTTTCTCTCTCGTTCGGGCCTTCTCTATCGTTCAGCCTTCTCTTTTTCGCCTGGATCGTTTCCTTCGTTCACACGAACGAACAATACCTGCTGATCACCGGTTAATTAATTCGTTCTGTAATCCTCCGCCGCTTCTTAGATTCTTCCCGTCATCGTGCAACTCGTTCGTGATCGTTCATCCAATTCCAGACTCTTCCGTTTCTAATTTTTAACTGAAACGGGTCTA